TTCGTCTATGCGTGCCGTATATGTTCTCTGTATTCCCTCAATTTCAGCAATCTCTTGAAGGAGGAAGTGAGTACTGAGCAGTACTCAAGACGGGACAACACAAGTGATTTGAAGAGTACAACCATTGTGATGGGATCTCTGGACTTGAAGGTTCTCGTAATCCATCCTATAATTTTTCTGGCTGATGCAATACTTGCTTGGTTATGCTCCCTAAACGTTAGGTCGTCGGACGTCATTATTCCCAAATCCTTGACATGCTGTTTTCCTACTATGGGCAGATTCGATTGTGTTTTGTACCCTGTATTATGATTCTCATTTTTGCCATATCTGAGTACCTGGAATTTATCACCGTTAAACATCATGTTATTTTCTGCTGCCCAATCGAAAACTTTGTTAATATCTGTTTGTAGTTTATCAATGTCTTCAGCAGAGGTAATTTTCATGCTAATTTTTGTATCATCTCATTTTGTATCAGGATGACACAAAGCTGTGACTTGTGTTTTTGTCTATATCTGATATGAGAATAAGGAACGGCAGTGGTGCAAGGACTGTACCTTGAGGTACAGAGCTTTTAACTGCGCTCAGACTCGATTTTACTCGATTGACTGTTACTCTTTGTGTTCTGTTCGACAGGAAATTGAGTATCCAGCGTCCTACTTTACCAGTTATACCCATTGACCTCATTTTGTGTGCAATCACTCCATGGTCACATTTGTCGAATGCCTTTGCAAAATCTGTGTACACGACATCTGCATTATGTTTTTCCTCTAATGCCTCAGTGATTTTGTCATAGTGGTCAAGTAGCTGTGAGAGGCATGATCTTCCTGCTCTAAATCCATGTTGGCCTGGATTGTGGAGGTCATTGGTTTCTATGAATCTAGTGACCTGACTCCTGAGCACACTCTCAAATACTTTTACAGTATTATGTGGGACGTTAGTGCAACTGGTCTATAATTCTTTGCCAATGCTTTGCTACCACCCTTGTGTAGAGGGGCAATGTCTGCTGCTTTAAGCACATCTGGTATCTCCCCTGTGTCCAAACTCTTCCTCCACACTATAGTGAGTGCCTGTGCTACTTGCACTTTGCATTTCTTTATAAATATTGAATTCCATGAGTCTGGACCCGGGGCTAAGTGCATGGGCATATTGTCAATTTCTCTTTCAAAATCTGCCACGCTTGTGTTGATATCAGTTATATTTACAGGTGTTTGAGTATTATTCATAAAGAAATGAATGTGCTCACCTGGTGAGCACATCATAAAATCTTGCTCCGTTTATATACAACCTACATTCGCAGCCAACTAGACTATTGTTGCCAAGCATATGCGTCGGCTGTGCCTACTAACCTACAGAGCTTAGAGGTCATCCAAAACAATGCCATGCGACTTATGTGTGGCACAAGGCGCACATAAGTGCACACACTCCTATCCTCGGACTTTACAGAGAAATGGGCCTCACAAGCTTAACCCTTGTGTTGCTCAGGGCTAATTAGCGTTTGTCACCCACAGGCGCATACCAAAAAAAAAAAAAAAAATTCTTCTAAACCTGTTAATTTGTGTTCTGATCATGGGAAAAATAATAAAAAAATCGTAAGTGCCATATATTGCCCGGTATAGGGCGGGGAAGTCTGGCAAAAAAACAGGTGCTGACTCAGCGTGCGTCCGAGGCAGTCTGCTCCTCCCCAGCTGTCAGGCAGGAGTGGCCACAAAGAGATAATTACCTAATTATTTCAATGTCTCTGATAGATTTTCATAGTTTTTTTGCTGTAATATTATTCAATGGTGTGTAATGGGATATATTGATATAATAAAATGAGTGAATCATTGCTGTACTCAAAATTATGGTGTGCATATTGTTGATTCAATTATGTTCATCAAACGGTGAACAAATACTTTGTCGGTTATTACACTATATACACAGGTTATATGTAAGTATCTGCATGTTTTGTTCACCCATAACGAACCACTAAGTTGGTATTATGAGTCAAAAAGCAACTAGGAGTGACTGCCACACACCAGCCAGCCACTCGGTGCCTCTCACTCCCTCAACACCTCACTTGCCCACATTCTCCTCCCACCATACTGTTTTTTCATTTATTCACTATAAACAGATGTTATATATAAGTATCTACATTCATGTTCACCATAACGAACCACTAAGTTGGTATGCTGAGTGGCAGCCCACCACTAGCTGCCACTTCCTCCCTCACCTCACTTCACCTGACTTGCCACCATTCTCCTCCCACCATACTGTTTTTGCTTTTATATACAGATGTTATATATAAGTATCTGCATGTTTTGTTCACCATAGCGAACAACTAAGCTGGTATAGTGAGTCCAGACAGTAAAAGGTGGTCACACAGAGTCAGCAGACTCTGTGTGTCCACCTCACCTACCTCCCTCCCCACCAAGATTACTCCTCCCACTACAGCGCTAATTATCACAACAATCCTGCTATTATCAGAATCCTGGTCATTTTTATCACAATCAGGGATCTTCTGTAATACTATCATAGCTAAATAATAGCATGAACATGTATATATTATGGCATTTTTAGGTGATGCTGTGGTCACAAGC